GAGAACCTAAAAAAGGATTTGAAGCCCGATGACAGGCCAACCATGAGCTTCAGTAGAGCAAGGGGGATGCAGCATGCTAATCCTCGAACAGAATTGGTTGACAAAATATTCAGCATAGACCTTGATATTTGGAGAGGGAGGGGAAAAGGAAAGGGAAGGATCATACGACACTGAGAATAAGAGCAAAACATAACAAACCTGTGTTACCAAGTCCAGAAACTCTAAGTGCATCAACCACAGCTGAATGAGACTGTACAGCATAGGAATGTAGGAGGCTATCTAAGGCTTTGTTCTCCTGTCCAGCTTCTACAGGGTAGGGGAGAACTGATTGAGGGTTAGAGGAGCCCCCAGTCTGCATTTTCCAGCAGACAAGTGCCAAAATGGCTTCTGCCAATAAAAAAAAAGTCACCCCCATGGTAGCAGTTGTTGAAGTTGATGTGAAAACAAACTGCAAATTCATCACTAAACTTGAGTAGATAAGCACACCAAGATGAAATATCTTGGTCAAAAGAAACTCAACTCATACTGAACAGCCATTACATTATTGAAGTTGAATATTTAAAATCGAAAATGAAGTACAAAAGTAAAAAAATTTTCACAAAATTTGAAACTCAATCCATGGTAAGCAATATATCTAATCACTTGAGTGCCAAATCAAGAAGTAAGGTTATACTCCATAATGCAGGGAGAGACAGATGCACCAGGAGAGTGTGTCATGCTCCTATTGGTGTAGGGTTGTTGCATGCTTTTTGCATGCTACAGCCTAGCTGTACCATGTTAACTCTCTCTCCACAGGCACCTTTTTCATCACATATCACAAGACAAGGTTTTAGTGAATTACATTCAAAATTTAATTAAACTACTTTCTTTTCATGGTATACTAATAAATGTAGCATAAAAACATAGCTATTGATCCACATTTTAATATTATATAAGCTTTAAATTCTTACTTTTATAAGGCAGTATCAAAAAAGAATCCTCAATTTCTCCCAGTGCGAGAATTGGGACATTTGCTCTCTACGCACCCCCTCCTCTTTAATTTATTTATCACACCTCCAAGAAGTACGAAATTTAAAGTAAAGTACTCAGGATAATATTGGCATCATTCAGGCAAAGCAAAA